TTCATTCTGTATATATGTGTTTTGCTTAGTTAGTTATATGTCAGATATAGTTTTATTTATTAAATCCCTTATATTCACAATTGATTGTCTCTGTGTGCTGCTCACACTTTGAAGTCACTGAATGTTTGATCCCTTGCTACATGCTAAGTTAATGCTAGTACTGTATGAAGGAAAGTTATTCTTTCTTGGCCTGGAAAATAATCTTTCCTTGAATGAGACAATATAAATGATTATATTGTCTGCTCTGTGGACGGACAGATCAAATAATTGTAATCTTGATTCTGCTACAGTTCATTCTAAGATCTAATCTAAATATTTATTATTAATTATAACCAGTTTTAATTAATTATAAATATTTCCCTTTTGAGCTAATTTGCTACATGTTTGGTGGAGAACGCGGCAACATTCAAACTTTGTGAGCAAACTCAGTATCAATTTATTTGTGTTCTTATATTATGCGCGCTTAGAGTGAGACAAGTCGCAACGCGAACTCACTCTGTTGATTGGATGGTTCAAAGCCACCTCCAGTACTGTATTTTAACAGCCTCTATTTGTCTAACATTTAGTCACTGTTAATTGTTAAAGTAAACTGCAGTTCATAATATTAAAATTGTTCTCAGTAAAATGTTTACAATACATTTTAATATTATCAAAATCGCCTGTTGGAACGAAGAAATCTTCCTTCATTGTGATAAAGATTGATTTGAGCGATGTTCCTCTTATCAACTTTTTAAAGGCCTTATCTGATTGTATTGCTAGATTGAAGTCATCGCGTATTCCAATTTCATTCAACTAGACGATCTCACTCCCTTAGGTTTAACCATTAGAGTAGCTGACTAATGTGTGCCAAATGCAGATCTGATCATAAGAACACTGCGAGCCAGTAACTGATTGGAATGCAAATGGGAGCTTTTAAAACCTTGATCAAGTGAAATTTGTATAACAACAGCGAAGAAACCCTGTTGCTTATAATTTTTGTTGGGTACTGGCAGCGAAGAAATCCTGCCACACATCATTGTGCAGTTAAGTTGCACAAACTGTAAGAATCTGTTGGGATCTAAGTCACATTGTTCTTGTGATAGCTGCAATAAATTGTCTGTTAGAATGAGAGTAATCTCACACTAAAAACGCGATCAGTTTTAAGCACAATTGGAGTTGAGGCACAGTATAGGGCAGGCTGTTTAAGTATCTAACACTTCTTGAACTCCACTTCTACCTTCCTGATTTCACCTTGTGTGGGCTCACCCACTCCACCTTTTAGTCATTATTATCATTCTCACCATTCTAGTTACCTGCCGTTTTATTTCTTTATTTTAGTATTATTTTTGTTTCTACTTTATTATCTTTTATTACTTTTATCATTTTTGTTTTGTTTTGTTCCTTTTTTATTATTATTTATTTTTTTTATCAGGTTTCTCTCCCCCTCTTCTCTCTCACTTTACCACTCACTTATTTAAATTTAATGTTAATTTCTGTATTCTAGCCATTTGTGTTTACCTATAGGTAGCACTCCCTCTAGTGCTTAGTTGGTGAAGCGACGGTTGCCTCCATGGCGGATCACAGTGAGCTGTCACGGCATCCTGACTGGATCACTTTAATCCATCACTAAGCCTAGCCCATAGAATACTAACCCATCCAGCTAGCAAAACCCCAAAATCAGGTTTCTCCTCAATCTTTAAGGTAATTAGCCTGCTCCTGCTATCCCAGCAAGGCCAACACACTAGATGTTATGACCCAGCAGCGCCCTCTACTCTGTAGGCCCTGTCAAAACCCCTAACAGTAGTGAAAGGCTTAAACCTGCTCTCTTCCCTATCTCTCTCTGTGTTTTGATTTGTTGGTTTGTTTGTTTTTCATTTTGTTCTGTTTTGTTTGCCTAGAGACTGAACCTTTGAGAATCATCAAGGAAGGCTGAGTAATAGATTGATGACCCAAGCTACCAAAGTCTTCAGACGGATCACGCTGTCAACAATTTTTAGTTAGATCCTTTCCGGTGCCCCCACAACAATCAGATACACCTTGCCATTCACGGCCGAGATAACAGGTGTCTGGTCTACACTCCGCTAACTGTTTGTACTCATCAAACACGACCGTGCATAGAACATATAATTACTATAATTGCAGCCTGCTAACGCTGTAAGGACTTGCATTGGCCTTTTCGTGCTGTCCCTCTCTCCCTCTCTCTCTCTCTCTCTCTCCCTCTCTCTCTTCACCAGTGAGCCAGCATGTCTCGATCATCCAGCCCTGATGCCCACTGGGATCGACTAGAGTCCTGGCTGAGTGCCATGACTGGTACCTTCCTGTCTGAAGCCGCCGGTGGCCTGCAGCACCTGAGCCGGGAACAGCTCAACGACAACCTGAGCGACCTAATGTCACACGATCCTACACAAGACTACAGCCACAAAGATCTCACCAAAATCATCGGGTCACTAGCCCACAACCTCCTCACTCAGGCAAAGCTGGGTGAAGCAAGCATCTCCCGCATGGAACAGGAAGCAGCAGCGCTGAAGCTCCAGGCTGAGGAGGCTCAGAGAAACCTGGTGCTTGCTTGCTGAGAGCAGTGGGAAACGGACACCAGAGAGGAACTGAGTGAAAAACTCCTGCAAGCAGAGGCTCTCCTGATGAGAGCAGAGACTGAACTCAAAGAGAGAGATGCTAGGGCCAAGGCCTGCGAAGGCCACCTGCAAAGTTCCCGGGCTGAAGTCAGTGCCCTGGCCCAACAAAGAGACAATTTAAAAGATGAACTTGATACGGTTCACCGGGAGCTTAAATATGCATATAGACTGCAAAGTGACTCTGAAAGGGAAATGCACACCACAGAATTTCCCCTAACCAGCAGGCTGATACCTCCTAGTCAAGAATTCCCAGTTCGAAAGGGGGGTGAGAGCCCACTGCTCAGGATATCACCTGCCTGCATCCCAGAACTCCCCAGCAGCAGCAAGGGGGTGGGAGCCTTTCCATAGGCTGTCTTCCAGTCACGGTGTGTCACCTAAAGAATTGGATAAGCTGGCTAGAAACATTCCCACTTTCACTCCAAACCCTGCAGGAGGCCACGACGTGCACACCTACATAAAAGACAGTGACTTTCACTTGCAAACTGTTGCCAATGTCACCACATGAGACAGACTCTATCTGCTCAGGATCACCTCCAGCCGTGAGGTGCGGTGCTTTCTAGACTGGCAGCCAGAAACAGTCAAAGTGGATTACCAGCAACGGCAGCAGGCTTTGATTAAGGAATTCTC